GATGACAAGGGCAGCTGTGCCCAGAAATGGGGGCAGGCCTGCACAGTGAGGCTGTTTCTCTAGGAGACTGCTCAAGCCCAGGAGGAAGTAGGAATGGGGTGGTGCCTCACCTGGTGGTACCCTGTGCAGGTGACAAGCTTCTGAGACTCGGGGAGGAACTGTATGTCTTGGTCCCAGATGGGAACCCGCAGGTCAAGCCAGTCATTCCGAACCTGGTGGGGTGGGCAGACGGGGACAGGGTTGTGGGGGGCTCAGTGTGCCCCTTCCTTCAGCCCATCATTATCATCCCCTAAGGCTCACCTGGTTTCTGACTCATAGTCAGCGGCCTCGGCCTTCCTGGACCGCAGCCCCACCGCCCCCTCCCCACCCCTGTCACTCACATTCTTGGCCTTGAACACAGGCTCCTCAGACCCCTGCAGGTCCCACACCTTCAAAGCATTCTCCTTCCCACCCGTGGCAACCACGTGGAGGTGCGTTGGATCTTGGCGCATCCTACACACCCCAGGGCCCACTCTAAGGTCCAGGAGCTGAAAAGAGTGGGAGACGAGAGTGGGGCTGAGAGTCCGTTCCAAGCCTTACTCCTCCTCCCCAAAGCCCTTGCTCAGCTCCTACCCTGGCCCCTACTTTCCCAACCACCAGGATCAGAGCAGGGGAGCCTCACTGGGTCAGAGAATGCCTCCTTGTCATCATCACGCCAGACTCGGAGAATGCCAGACTCCACACACGTGATGAGGGTGCTGCAGGCAGAGGGTGGAGAGAATCAGGTAAAAAAACCCATTAAGTGTAAGTGTTCTTGGCTTATGCATTCATATTCACTAGACTCCCTCCTACCAACCCCATTCCTAAGGAAGCCTATAGGTAATTCAGGTCTTGGCAGGGCTTGCCAACTTCTAACCTCCCTGTTACTTCATTTCCTTAACAGGGTGAGGGCTTACTCATTTTCTAAGTGAGGAAACTGAAGCTCTGAGAAATTAAAAAATTTTCCCACACAGCTATAAATGTCAGAACCTGAACTGGGAATCAAGTCTGGAATACTCCAGAGCAGAGTGCCTTTGCTATTCCATAGCTGTGGGGCGGGGGCACCTGGCCTTGCTGGTCTTTCTGAATGTTAAGTTAGTCACCAAAGGTCAGGATGAGTAGGTCTGAAGAGACTGAAATGGACTTGTCTGGATGTAGGGTTTGACCAAAGTCAAAGACCAGCTTTTCTCAAGTTCCCTGTTCTGGGTTCCAGATGTTAAATGTCAGTATCTCCCACAAAGTACCCATGCCTCCCATGAAACCGAAGCAAGTCTCTCCCCAGGATCTGTAGAACTGGAGCCTATGTTCTTTCTCATATCTGCCCACCCTCCCCACCTTGGTTCAGGGTCTGTATTGCTTGCCTGAGCTGTGGCAAGCCTCCCAACTGCCCTATGATCCGTCCTCCACACTCCTA